GTGTAGAACAGTGCCTCGGAAGTACTGGTGGTTGTAAATGGATGGTGTCTTGCACTCCATCTCTAATTGCGCTCAAGGTCCGAGTGAGATATGAGGTGTGTGGATCTGGCAAAGCACAGGGAATCATTTGCGAACGAGTTGTCGTCCGCGATCACCAGCAGTATGGAAGCTGGCTTCATAATGAGTGTCCACCAAAGCACATGCAGGGGAATGCAGTTTTCTCTGTTTTTTTTTTCCTTCCGTAGGCGCTGACAGCTCTTTGCCGGCGAGTTGTCGTCTCGAGTTTTCATGGCCTAAAGAGATGAGTGCTGTAACCATTGCACAATTGTGCAGATAATGAAAAGATACGTCCGGGCATCTGTACACTTCTTTCCCCGTTGAGTGTGAATTGAAATTGCCGTGGTCAGGCCTGTATGGTCTCAGCATGCACCTGCTAAAGTGCAGCCAGGCCCATGGTGCACCGGTGGCTACAGCAAAAGTATATGGGACCAAGCACTGAGAGCCAACAGGTATCTACTTGCACATGCCTTGACACTTTTTGGTAGAGTATCTGCTGATGTTTTTTTTGTCTCCCCTATGACTTAACTATACTCTTAAAGGAAGACGTGGGTCTCACGTGATGCTCCCACACGAGACTCTCACTTGTCGTGGGAAAGGGCGAGACACAGGGGCGGGCCCATTGAACAAGGAGTGCAAAAAATAATCAAAGAGTTGCAGGGCATTTGTTGCTTGTTTTGGGTTTTGTCTTTCGTGTTTTTGTGTGCTTTAGGATCTCGAGGCAAGGAAGCGCGCAGGGCAGAGTCCAAATCCATTGGAGCTCGCCTGGAAATGCGGAAAGATCTCTGAGGGCGTGTGGATACACATGCCCTGTGCCTTTTTTTCCGCTTCTCCAACGATTCGAATGTCAAGGAATCTTTCACTAGAACATGGGAAGATACACCGGCACACTTTTTTATCTTTTGTGCATGTTGGTGAGTTGTGCAGTGAGGCCCTAAAGTGTGGTGGAGCTGGGTCGAGTATGCCTTGGATGCAGGGTTGTCTACCCCAGGCCCTGGACCCCTGCCGAGTCTGCACCCCTCGCTTCCCGCTCCCCCCCCAAAAAAGAAAAAAAAGTGGGGGGCGTGTAGCGATGGCGTGCATCCCGTGGGATAAAAAGCCACAAGATGAATTCTCCCCCTCGCCCCCCTTGGCCCCCCCCAGGGACAAACCCGCCCCGGGCAGGACTGGGGTGACCCTCAGCGCGGGTTTGACAGTGGCGTAGTGCAAGGGCGGGGTTGGGGAAGCACTGGTGTGGGGTCGGAGCGCTGCACCCGGTGATGAGAGGACCAGCACAGCGGGGGTCCGCGGGGGTGCCCAGTTATGGATATTTTTCAGCTCCCTATGGTGCATAATTCGAAAAAAAAAAGAAGGTTCTGTTTATTATTCCTCGTGGGGAGTGTGGGGAAGCTAAAAACAAACCCCCCGAAGTTTGCAACCCAAGGGACCCCCGCACCACTGGGGGTCCGGAGATCAGGGATCCCCGTGCGGGGTTGACAGGGCCGATTGACAACCCTGGCTGATCCCCTGGGGATCCCTGCGTGACAACGCTGCTGGGATGGAAAGAAGGAATTTTCTGCTAGAACATGGGAACATACACCCTCCTATTTTTTATCTTTTGTGCATCCGGTGAGTAATGGAGTGAGGTGCTATGTGTGGTGGAGCTCGGTCGAGTACGCCTTGGATGAAAAGTAGGAATCCATTGGAGCTAGCCCCTAAGTGAGGCGAAAAGGAACTGAGATCTTTGAGCGAGTAAAGAAAGGCATTCCACGATGCAGACCCCCAGTTTGACTTTCAGGGTCAAGGTCTCAGGCCAACGGAGGCCAAGTCGGCCAGTTCAGAAAGGTCAAAGTTGGGTACCCTAGGAGTCAACTCCAACAGGCACCCGGTGAACAGTCACATCCCAGAGGCAAAGGTTGCATTCCATAAGCAAAAGTCACGTCTCATATTGAAAAGTCATATTGAAAGTTCATATCCCACAGGCAATGGACGCTTCTCCAGGCAAAAGTCGTGTCCCAGAGGCAAGAGTCACATCCCACAGTCCAAAGTCATGACTCACAGACCCAAGCAGCAGCACACCAATGAAAATTCGGGAAAGTACCAGGCCTTGACATTCTGAAGCAAGCAGGCCGTGGGCATGTGGTACCAGAACCAAATCAAGCCAAAGGAGCAGAGACTAGGACGAGTTGAGGCTCAGTCCAAGTCAATATAAGGACTGGCCAACCACATTTCCTGGGAGATTGCTCATTCGTGAGAAGTGTGGAAGTTGCTGCTGAAGTGCTTGTGCGCTATCTGCGAGTAGCATGCGCGAGAGCCCTGCTGGGCAGCGCTGCGTCGAGGAAGGAAGGTGGCCATAGCCCCATAGCTAGTAGTAGGAGATAGGGCTGAGTGGTAGCGGATGTATTCAGAGTCAAGATCCTCAAGTAGAGAGAGAGAGGGAGAGAGAGTAGAAGAGAGTGAGCACATGCATAAAGAAGACAGAGACACACACACACACACACACACACACACACA